CTATTTTTATGTTTCCTATCTCTTTGTCAATGTTCTCAGAAAGTTCATAGAATATCTTCATAACCAATGTTTTCAACTCTGCATCTAGCAGATTGCTTGTCTCCATTTTATTTAGGTGTTGCTGTGCTATTTTTTCTGGAATTTTGTTTTGTTTTCATTTGGGACATGTATCTGTCTCCTCATTTTGGCTACCTTGCTGTATATGTTTCTATGTATTAGGTAGAGCTGCTATGTCTTCCAGTCTTAGTAGAGTGACCTCATATAGTAGGTGTCCTACAGGGCCCAGTGGCACTGCCTCCTCAGTCACCTGAGTTGGGTGCTTCAAGTACGCATCCTGTGCAAGCTGTGTACACACTCCTGTTGTAGTTGACCTTGACTGCTGCTGGCACCTCAATAAGAGGGATATACCCTGAGGCTGATCAGCTGCACGAACTCGCTAAGACTGCAACAGAGGAGCTGCCGTGCAGAGACTGATTCAGTGGAGCAGAACTTGCTTTTTAGCAGGGATCTGGTGCCAAATAAGTCTCTCTTGAGTGTGTCATTCATGAAGGTGCTTGGGTGGTGCGCTTCAGCCTGAAGCAGTCCACCAGGTGTGCTAGCTCTAGGGCTACCCAGATATTGCAGGCCAAAGTCAGCTGCCACCTGTGTCCTGCCCAGCTTAGCTACAGAGCAATCTGCAGATGGCTCTTATTTTTGCTGGCTTGGAGGTGGCCAGGAGAGGCCAAGCTGTGAATTAAGGCTGGCTGCCACTAGTGTCGGGCATAGGGTTACTTAAAAGCACAGGGCACCTAGAGACCAAATGCTGCTTGTTTGGGGTTCATGGACCTTTGAGAGATTTCAGGAAAGACTACAGCATGAGCCAAGACAGGCTGTTTGTATGAGAAAACCACTGGAAATAGCTTGAATGAGCCCTAAAGTTGGGTGGGGCGAGATATCAGGGAATCACCTCAGGGAAAATGGCATTAGGCTAATGGAGACTCAGATATGGTGCCGGCCTGCAGGCTCTATGGGGGGAATGCTCACCTAAGAAACAACGGCCTCTGACAGTACTTCTGTAGGAGAAAGCTGGCCTTCCAGCCTTCAACCTGAAGCCAGACAATTCAGTTCCTCCTCCTACATCCCTGCTGCCTTTTGGGCTGCTGCCCAATGGCTAAAGCTCAGAGTGAGCCTGAGTGCGTCTGTGCATGGGTCATTTGAGAGGCATGCCCGAGACTATAGAAGTGCTCCATCTCACTTAGCCACAATCCCTGCTGGTTTATGCAGTCAGAAGCTATGGGGACTTCTCTTCCTGGCACTGGAACTCTGGGGCTGGGACCAACAGCCAAGATATCCCTCCTGGTTTTTAATCACCAACCAGGAATGTGGGACCGGCCCATTTTGCTTCTCTTCCACTCCTACCAGTCTCAACATGGCTTCTGTATATTCTTAGTTATAGGACTTTGGTTCAGCAAGATTTCAGGTGGTTATGAATGATGGTTGTTCTGTAGTTTAGTTGCAATTTTGATGTGGTTGTCAGAGGATGCAAATGCCACATTTACCATCTTGACCAAATTAAATTAGATTTAATGCATAAAAGTAATTTCACCCAAGTTGCACTGACATGTGTCACAATTTGATGATGGAAATATGTTCAGAGCTGCCTAGGAACCGAGAATATTTTTGAGTGAATGCCGGTGAATTTCTTAACATAATAAATATGTTGTGATAACCATGTTCTCTCAGTAATCTGCTTACACAATTTTGTCACATTGGCTTCCTCTGTTTACCCTTAATTGAGTCTCACAGAGCCAGTTTCAACAGCCAGTTTGTTTTCTATGCTGGGAGCCTTGGATATTAAAGACAATGTTGAATCTGGCTGCTAAGCCAAATGGAGAAAAACAAGTACATAGTAATGATGAGAGGCCGTAGCTAATGTGATTTAAAATTACATCAACATTGCAGAGAGACTAGCTCCTCATGATGACATTTCCTTTTTTCTTAAGCTTTCATGGTCAACAGCAAATGGTACAGTACTGTTTCAATCAGTACTGAAACCAATCAAACATTATACCACAGCTATCCTGATTTAGAGGGATATATAGGCCATTTTGAAAGTAAGTCTACGCTTTACCAAGAATAGTGTTATAGCAACTTCAAGAATCCCTGTTCATTTCATAAAACTTAAAAATTACTAAGATGTTACACACAAAGGAAATAAGGAATGCCCAGAAAAAAAAACCCCACTGTAAGTAGTGAGGCATTGGGATAATTTTTTTAAAAGAATAGAGGCCTTGTTATAATGTCTACATTTTCTCCCTTTCTTTTCTCCCTGTAAGCAACAACACCAAATAGAGTTCTGCGATGAGATGCCCTGAAAAGCTACACTCATTTTAACCACCTCAGTAGCTTTGTAAATTCTCTAAGACTTACAGTTTTCAACACTTTCCTTAAAACTGAATGGCTTCAGCAAGGCGGCGTTTTCTCTGTGACAAGGGTGAGCCACTGCCAATGTTAATTTTCCTCGCCATGCCTTTTCAGCATATACATTTCAGCTGCCATGCCATTGGTTCTTTTCCTCGTCAATACTCTGTTCCTTTTGCAAATAAACTTTGCCCGTCAAATGTGCTGCCGGTTGCAGACCTCTAGCCCAGGGCTCAGGTTAGCTTGGGAGCACCTCTCCCCTCACTCTCACCCAGGAAAGGATTTAGGATTCCTTTTGCTGAGACATTTTTAAACTTGAGAAGTTTAAGAATAAGTCAGTCCTCCACACCCACTCCATTCTACTACTCCTTAATTTTGTTTGTAAGTTTGATCCTTGGCGCTGCTGGCTCTTGGGTGGATTCCATACAGTGCTTTCCCTAAGTGTAAGTAAGTGAGAAGATTCTAGTTGGTTCTCGTGCTTTCTGCTGTGAACTCCCTTCAAATTTGCCCCTGAGGTGGCCCAGGAAGAATCCTCAACCTTAAAGCTTTGATAACCTGTGTCTCCCGAGAAGGTGCAAAGAAACTCAGCAGACTCAAGACCAGTTACTAGAGTGACCGTTCTATTGAGAACCTAAATACAACCATTACAGATATAGTTATGCAGCAAGTGTAATCTGAGGTAGAAGGATCACACACTTTGGGGCTATCATTCAAATTTACCATATGCATGACTTTAAGAAAGTCATGTAATTTCCCTGATTCTCAATTTTCTTTTCTGTATATTAGATTTATTAAGAGAATCAAGTGAAATAATCTGCATGAAGGGCTTAATGCTGAACCTGGAACAGATTAGGTGCAATAAATATTAAACCATAGTATGTTCATTCTGGGATCTGTGTACACAAGGCCAAAAAATAATGTCAATAAAGATGTTTGTGTGTCATCTATTCTTTCATACTTAGGTAAGTGCTTTTGTTCACAAGGAACATTAGGCTGGTGGATAAATTATTTCACAAGCCAGAGAATAGAAGGAGCTTGATAAATAGGCCTCTCTCCCGGTTTCTATTCATATATGCTTATGTTAATTACGAGGAGTAGCATGTGCTGGAGAACATGACTAAAAAAAAATGTTTAATTTCACCACAATCTTAGTTATAATGTAACACTTGTTTGAAGTATTTTTTTATTTCAATCCAATAATGATTTATTGAGAAAGTTATATTCTTATATGATACGACCAGAGTGAATTATACTTTTATAAGCTAATTCAAATATATAGAATATAGTCATTGAAGCAATCAAATTCTCCATTTTCTAGTAAGGATATAAATTAAATAGTCTGAAAATTATCAATACATAAATGTTTTAACAAAATAATTTTTAAAAATTAAGTCAATAGAACCAGGCGCTATGTATAAAATTGTTTCCCAAAGCTGTGAGTGCTCTTATTGAGGAAAACTACCTCAAAGATATCTTAAAAGATAATGAATTCTTCAGTTATCTTATTCACACTTCTGAACAAATTATTTTCATCTCCAAACTGTTGATGGTTTGTATAGGAATACATAGATCGTTAGGTAGGTAGATAGACAGATAGGTAGGTGGTTAGGTAGGTAGATAGGTAGATAGATAAATTTCAAAACGCAGAAAAACTTTTCCAACAGATTATTTAGAGTAGCACAAAACCTTCTCAACATAAATGTGGTCATCTCTGTCAAGATAAGTTTTTCAGTGTATTTTTCAATCCGGTGTGATGGCACTACAGATTCTTAAAACAATGCAATTGGTATGACATCTCTTTGGGAGACTGCTAATTCTGCAAAGCATAACGCCAATAGAACACAAGTGCACCCAGATGGTAGTTCACATCCCAAAGCAAATTTGTGCATAACTTTCCCTTCAAGACTAAATAAGTTTTCAATTTTCCATTGCCTTGTATGGGTTATAATCGAGGATTCAAAATGAGGCTCAGATGCCCTGGCCGGGTGGCTCATTGGTTGGAGCATCTCTCTCTGTCTCTCTCTCTCTCTCTCTCTCTCTCTCTGTCTCTCTCACACACACACACACACACACACACACACACAAGGTTGTGGTTTTCCACATACCAAGGTTGCATGTTTGATCCCCAATTGGGGCACCCACAGGAGGCAACTAATAAACCTCTCTCTCTCTCTCTCTCTTTCTCTCTCTCTCTCTCTCCTCAGTTGGGGCACCCACAGGAGGCAAATAATAGATCCTCTCTCTTTCTCACCCCCTCCCCGTCTCTCTCTCTCAAAAACCAATGAATATATCCTCAGATGAGGATAAAACAATGAGGCTCTAGTGATCAGAGTCACATATGACAGCAGCTCAGGAACGTCCCAGATGGCACAAAGCCTGGCATTTTTAGGCACGGTGCTCTCTTCACATTGATAACGGTGTAGGAGACTTAGAAAACAAGAATAGTTCACTGCCAAATTTTTACATTTTGTTATTTTTTGTTGAAACAATTTATCATGAAGATATGATGTCAAAAAATTACAAACAGTCATATATGTCACTGGCTGAATTAGACCTAATAATTATTTTATCCATAATGAGTGTAGAAATGCCATCCTTACCCCTAAATATAATAAGATTCCATAGAACATAAATCTCCAGAAAAAGCATCGCCGGAGGGCATTAATGAGTTTGGGATTTTTCTTTGATGCCAGCTCTCTGTCCCATTCTCTGCAAAGGAATAAAATTGGGACCAATAAGGTGATTGTACAAATATTTGAGTTGTTTTATTTTCCTTAATATAGTTTTACTCACAAGGACATCCAAGAAGATTAGCCAAGTGATTAAAGAGATAAAAATTTTGGAGACCTTCAAACACCAATGCTCAGTCAGATATTTGGCAGAATTCAATTCTCTACCCTATATCAATTTTATTTGTTAAAGAAAGGTTCTGGGCTTCTTAAAAGCAACACAAAATGTAGACAATACAGTATGACTTGTGAATAGACATTGCTATGATTGGAACAAGGAAAAAGATAAACAAGTATTTGGTTTTTTTCTCCTTCACCTCTTGATTTTTACCTGTTTAGAATTGTAGTACATTTTATATAATTTAACCATCAAATAAAAAACAAGATAAGAAAGTCAAATGTATTTTTCTGTGGTTTAACATTAGAAAAACTTGTTAGTCTCTGTTTTTTAAATGTAGGGACATGACACAAGTATCATCAAACTTAATTGTCAACTACCTAAAGTCATTCTAAAGTAAGACTTTGTAAGATCAGAACAGAAGCAAATTCTATATTTTCTAGTAGGAATATAAGTTAAATAGTCTGAAAATTATTGATACATAAGTGTTTTTGTTTTCTTTTAAGTGCTATAGGTTCATCAGCTGACTATAATTATTTTAAGTTATGCCACTACTTCCTATTAGTAAAAGCCCCTCTTCCTTTTCCTAAGAGGGTAAACTATGGTATCTCTAAATATTACCTTCACCTTCATTTTTAAATTGTAGAGATGAAAAGTTTCATGAACAACAGGCAGGAACTAGATAAAAGTTTTGCATTTGATCACCGGCTATTCATGTAACTATCAATCTACTACTATTACAGGTGGTTCTAAGTTACTCCAAAGAAAGAACACCCGACTGAAATTTGTAGGCAAGCTTGGTAGTCTCTGTAAATGAACAATGGCTTTCCCCAGAAGCCTACTATCTATAATGCCTAATTACCTTATTTTATCTCTCTATTTCTCTAGCTCTTCCCCACACACATGGAGCTTGCCTCCTATCCATATCATTCAGTGACTCATAACAAGGTAAATATGGAGGCAGACACAGCTTTCCTCCAAAGGAAGAGTCAGATGGAAAAGCCAAAGAAATGGTTTCAAGGTGGGAAGAAATATTTAACACTAAAGTCATGTAGAAAAATATCATTATATTTGATAATTAAGAGGCCTCTGGTAACCCTGATCAGTGTGGTTTTAGGAACATGGTAGGCGTGGGAATCATATTTTAGGGAGCTGAGTTGTAAATAAAAGGTGAAGATGTGAAAGTACCAGGAGAGCAGAGAAATATTAGCTATGAAAGAAAAAGAAGAAAAAGAATGGGGGCAGTGACCTGAGGGAAAGGCAAGGTTGGGAACTTTTTTTTAATGGGTAGGACTTGAATAATTTGTAGCCCAAGAGAAGTTAGCAGATTTAAGAATTGGTCCTTTATCTTAGAAATGTGAATTTTCTACTCCTACTGGCCTAATTCTTTGATTAAAATAAAGAAAAATAAGGTTGAATATCTTACTTTGCCTTAAAAATGTAAAAAAAATGAAATGACTTTAATGACAATAAAGTAATCAAATTGCAAGTCTACTCAACTTTATTTTGGTACAGTAGTTAGTAGCAAATTTTCATTTTTATGATTTTTATTTTATTTTATTGCCAACTCCTTCTCCCTTCCATTTGGTATCAGACCCCGTGCTGCTGGCACAAGACCCCATCTAGCTCATTCATGGGTTGTGGTTGGTCCAAGGAGTGAGCATGTGACTCAAGAGTCTCTGAAATTTTTCACATTTGGCCAAGGAGAAAGGGCTCTGTTCCCTCTGGTTTATAAAGATATTAGCTAAGAGTTCTGAGGACTCACTGCATGGAGGAAGCTCCTCTGAGAACGTAAAACCAACAGAAGGCATATTCCATCAGCTGGCATTTCAGTCTCTGTTTCACTCAGTGCCTAAGGTTAGTTCTCTACTTGGGCCGTCAGACAGACCACAGGAGCCAATAAAGTCCTTCATTGTATCTACTTATGCTAGTTAGTTGGGTTTCTCTCACTGGTCATCAAAGGGTTCTAACCAATACTCTTAGGAAAAGGGACTTCTTGTAACGGGAGAAACTGTTCCTGGGGAGGCTAGGAGTGCAGAAATTGTTTTTACAATCGTGGCTCCGTCAATCATTAACTGGCAAATTACATCAACTCTCTGAGCCTCAGTTTGCTCTTCTGTAAGATGGAGAAAATAATGCTTTCCTCCCACAGTGGCTGAAAGAGATACTATGGCTGATGGCCAGTACATACTCAAAATCACGAAATTTTTATGTTTCTTTGCTATCCAATAGCCATTACCTTAATATTTCATTTATACTCAAAATTTAAGATTTTGGAGGCAAATATACATACTCTCCTTCATATAGATGTTATTTAAGTCTTTAAAAATATCCATCTAATGTTCTTTAAAGACAGATAACTTCTCATATTTCTAATATGTGGAATATGTATTTTTCAGAAAAAGAAATAATTTCTCATGAAAATCTTTTCTTCCATCATTTCATTGTTTAATTCCTAATTGATCCAAACTTCAGAAAGAAAATAAGATGCTCCTTTTTAAAATGTGCTATTTTACACATTTAGCCCTCTAATATGTCAGTTCTGTAAATAATCAATATTAATTACTCTCTCCAATTAATAAGCAATGCACATGAACATACCTTTCTAATATTTCAGAGAGATTGTCAGCAGAATCAGCTGAAGAGATTTGGTATATGTCTGACAACTCCAGGCGCTTTTTGTACCCTTTCCACAAAATTGGTCCATTCCAACTAAAATAAAGAGAAAGACAGATAGAAACATTTACTTGATTTGGTCTCTAATACAGACTTGGAATCTGATATCAGTTCAAATCTTCTAGCATGTGCAGAAGGGTGGACACAAACTGTAAATATGAATAACATAAGTCAACATATACATAAATACCAGGGCTTCATATCTTATGGGACACATCTGTATAAAACATCCAGTACCTATGAAATAATGTGACTGTTGCTATGTAAGAAAAGGATCAAGAATGATGGTAGAATCCTTCCTAGAGGAAAAAAACACTAATAAACATTTTGCATTAGAAGTATTCTTAAAACACACACACACACAGCCCCCAAATAACCAGATATTTGGAGTTTATAATTGCTAAAATTGCTAAAGTCCAGTCTCTACCATTTCAAATATAAAATGATCTGTGAATGATAAGAAAGTAGACTCTCAATCAATACCCTTTAAACCTTATACATGCATTACCATAGCACATGAAACTCAGCAATGAGCTATTTGTTTAATGAATTGACTATATATAGCTAGAGGGTTAATGAGTAAGTCTATATCAAATTGTTTAATTATCATGTCTGAATTAATATCTAAGGGTGGGGATCATAATTTTCTTGTATTTTATCTCCTTACCCTGCATCATAAATAACAATTTATGACAGAAACTAGTGAAGCTGGTATGGTAAATAATTAGGCAGGATACCCCGTTATTTTCAAGTACATTGTCTCTAACTATTATGGATAAGGCAGAATAATCTTCACAGAGATAAGAAAATATAAAAAGAAGAAGGAAAAGGAAGGCGAGGGAGGAAGAGAAATATAAAACAAAGAAATCATGTACAAAGAGAAATTCCTAAATGAAATTTGAGCATTGAGACTTTTCTTGAATGGAATTTCATTTACTGAAGAAAGGAAATGAACTTCCAAGTACTGATCCCCAAACATGCTCTTGCCCTTAGCATCTTTTTTCCCTTCAGAGATGTCTAAAACTTTGTGTCATTGAGACTTTGGTAATGTATCAAAATGCATGTTAGCCCCCAAAATCAAACAGGTCCAGTTTTTTGCTTACAATTCCTTGGTCTCCAGCTTCTTTAATTGGCCCCTGCCTAAGTTCCTGATATTTCTACAACTTGTCCTTCCTTTAAAGGTAACTGAATTAAGGCCCAGGCTAAGTAATTTCATCAACCATTTCTTGCTAATATATCAATGAATGACAATGGTTTATTATGTTACTTTTTTCCACTAACTTGCAATATTTGCATTCTTAACAAGAGCCTTAGCAAAAAGGATGATAATTAGTTTTTTGTCTTTATTGCCCAGTCTGATATATTGCTAATTATTCCTGGAGAGCAACAATAAAAATAATTGGGAACCGTCTGAATATTGCAATTAAAGTAGTGCCATGACAATGCAATATTTGCAGTGGGCATGATCTAGAAAGTGATGTCACACCTACCTGGTGCCACCTTGGTATCAAACATTGCACTGGAAATAACCTTGGAAATATAGGTGGCAGTTAGACTGTGAAAAATTTGCGACAGCAATTTAGGATATAAACTCCATCATGTTGATTATGAGTCTTTGTAAACTTAAACCAAAAAGTGAAAAAGTGAAGCAAGTGCTTACTACTAAAATACACACACACACACACACACACACACATGTGTGTGTGTGTGTGTATATAGCACTTTCCAAGGAACTTTCACAAACATTACCACATTTTGATTTTAACTTTGAAATCTTGGTATGTAGCCTGGCCAGTGTTACTCAGTGGTTGGGTGTTGACCTATGAACCAGGAGGTCATAGTTCGATTCCTGGTCAGGTCACATGCCCAGATTGCGGGCTCGATCCACAGGAGAGGGTGTGCAAGAGGAAGCCGATCAATGATTCTCTCTTAGCATTGATGTTTCTATCTCTCTCTCCCTCTCCCTTCCTCTCTGAAGTCAATTTAAAAAAATCTTTTTAGGTAGAACAAGTTGGAAATAATGCTCCTAGTTTAAGGATAAAATATTGGAAGCTCAGGGATGCTAAACTTGTCTGTTAGTAAAGACAAAAACTATAGATTTTTAGCACATTCTCCTGACTTCATTTCTTCCTTTATCATGTGCAGCTTTCCCTATTTAAGAAAATTAAGCATGGTGAGTTGTATGAGACAAACAGCTGGAAGGTGAGCCTAGAAGCAGGAAGACCAAAAGCTGACAGACTGTAGGCAATGGCAAAACTTTAACCATTCCTTCTCCAGGAAAAACAAAAGCAAAGGGAAAAATATGGCATGTCATTTGCCAGTTTCTCTGGTGTAAATAAATACTCCCATGTGACCAATTACAAGCTACCAAATGTGAAGTCATTGAACACATAGTTGGGAAGAGATACACAATCGCATATCATAATATAGAATGTTTACTGTTCAGCTACAATGACCATAAATAACTTCAATAGCATAGAAAAATATTAAGATGTAAAATAATTAGGTAATGACAACGTTCAAGTTTTTATTACCTTTGTTTCAATGTAATTTATTTAACTATAAGTTTAGATTATTTAATTTTTAATACCAGGTGTGCTTAACAACCAGCTTACAAATTTCCTAAAAATTTAACAATAAGAAACAGCTCACTATAGCACATCACTGTTGCCAGATTGTTGAAAGACTTGGAACAAGGTAATGGCATTGAGGACAGAAAGCAAAGGTCCTATAGAAGATTTAGTAAAAGGGAAAATATATCCCATCTCTTATAAACCTTGCATTTCACTGTTTGAAATTATTAAAATTTCACATTAAAATTACAAATAGAATTTCACTATCTGCAAATACAATACAAAAATACATTTTCAGGAAATTTACAAATAAAACTTTTCAACCCTTTTTAAGAATACATGAACATACATCTTTGGTCCATATCTTTGGTCCTGATGACAATTCCCATAAGTGAGTTTCCATCTCATTTTAGAGTAGAACAATTTGTGGGCCACTTTTATAAAAAAACTTCCTGTGTTATCTGTGCCCATTTTAATATTGTTATACAAGAGTTCCATACCCCAGCATCATCAAACCAAACATATTCAATAGTAATTGAAACTCAAATTAACCATTTATAATCATTAATATAATTTAATATTTCATGACAGGTTCACCATAGTAAACCTGTATTTGTATTCTGAAATAGAAACTTCAGTTAACTGAAATTACAAGAAATAAAATAACTTCGGCAATTTTCAGTTACCTTAGCAAAAGAATTTATTCTGTGCAGTTAAGCCAGTACAATTGAATAAAATTTCTGCCAAATCAAGAAGTTTCCCATGCCTACCTCAAGCCAGTCTTAGAAATATAAAAACAAAAACAAAAATTCCAAGATATCTACAATTAGGTATTTTATAAAATATTAGCTACTATAAAATTCCAGCTACCACTTCTCTTGAATAATCCTGAGTAGGTTACACATACTTGGATAGAATTTAGGAATGTCCAGTCAGGATTTCTATCTCAGTATTTCTTCCATTAGAAATGAATGCATGCCTTGGTTGGGTAGCTCAGTTGGTTAGAGTATCATCTTGATATGCCAAGGTTGTGGGTTCGATCCCCAGTCAGGACACATACATGAAACAACCAATAAATGCATAAATAAATGGAACAGCAAATTGATGTTTCTCTCTCTCTCTCTCTCTCTTTCTCTCTCTCTCTCTCTCTCTCTCTCCCATCTCCTCCCTCTAAAAGTCAATTTAAAAGTAAAAATGAATTTTAAAAATATTTTTTAAGTCCAGGTGTTTCATGAAGCAAAGCAAGTACACCTGGAATAACCAAAAGCAATAAATCTTATTCCTCCTCCTCCTCCTCCTCAAATTTGTTCCACCATCTCTTCCTCTCACTTCAAATTGATCTTGTCATCCTCCTTCATTCATAAGCAGTCATTATATATTGATAATGAACTTATATACTGATCTACTTAGAAACTGTCAGTTTCTAAAGTTCTAGCTATTTCTAACAGAAACTAGCTAATCATTAATTATGAGGTAATAATCAGAGATCACTAAGATATACAGTGTTTTATAATTTATCAGTTTCAAACTGACTTTTAAAAAAAGTCTAGTGCCCCAGGCACACTATTCTGTTTACTTAACTGAGAGGCTTCAGGTTTTGTTGAAGAAAAATGTTATCATTTCATTTTTAAGAGAGAGAGAGAGAGAGAGAGAGAGAGAGAGAGAGAGAGAGAGAGAGAGCTATATTTAATTAGTTTCATTTCTTAGGACAAAACTTGCAATTTTTGTATAGAGTGATTGGTAATTCTTTATAATAAAAGAAATTTCCATTTATAGCCATTATTAAAGCCTTTGTTTTCACAGAATCTATCCCCTTAAAACTACATAAAGCTTATAATCATTTTTCCATTTGACATTTAGTTTTCATTAATCCAGCAGAGGCATCTGACATTTTCATCTGTAGAATTTAAGATGAAGGTCAGGTATCAGATACGTTTGGTTCAAAATAATTTTGTTTGTATAAAACAATCAGGTTTCTACAGTATTTAACATTCCTTGTTATTTAACTAGCCAAAAAATAAAATAAAATAGCAAATTCAAACCACTGATTGCATGACACTTACAAATACTAACAAATTCACACACTCAAAGATAACAGTCTTTTTCCTTTTTGCATGAAATAATAAATACTTGAGGAACTAAGCAGAAATTACCCTACACTAATTTGGGTAGACAAATTTAAAACGCCAGAGGTTTTCTCGTCACCCGAGATATTTACCATGAGATTTAAGTAGCCAAAAAAATATCTGGATAATCTTAACTAAAGCAAATGTTGAAGTTCAGACAGAGGAAAGGAGGAGAAGCATTAGAACAAAATCTGGTAATAAATCCTACCCCTGCAGCCTGGCTCTCCCAATTTGCTTTAGTTATGTAGATAAGTGGCTATGATGGGGAAATTAGCTTGACCAGAAGTCATCTCATTTCTATAAAGATTTTTAAAAATCTCACGAACAACACTTCAAATGTCACAGTTGTTTTATCAACTTAGATTCGATGTTACCTTACAGTCAGATGTGTTTTTCTCAATGAATTTTAGTGAAAATAAAACCTTGTAGGTTTCAAGAATGCACCTGGAAGTCACATCATTGGAGTCAGGGTCAGGCTGGTGAGTTCCTGTTCTCTGTTTCCACAAGGTATTTACACAGTGTTTGCCGTTTATCCATAAAATGGTGAGTTTATAAGCAATAACCACTTCAGTGTGCTCGATCACCTTTAGGAGTACATGCTTGCTAAGGATGGTCCTTTTTTGTTTGTTTGTTTGAGAGTTAATTACTTATGATACTCTAATGTACCAAGAGAATCATAGCTCGTTTTTTTCTCTCTGGATGAGTAAACAATAAAGTAAATGTAGTCAGTAAATTGCAGAAGACCTGGAAATAATTATTTGCTCCTCAGCAAAAGACCACAAAGCAATTCTGAAAAATCTTAAATCATAGAGGAATCCTAATGTAAATCAATTTAACTTCATGCTTAATGAATCCAAACATTAAATAGAAAATCTATCTGCCTACTTGATGAAATGCTTCTAACTATAAATGTATTAAGAATGTAAACATATTAAGCAGATTTCCGGAAAGATATTTTCTTTTATGCTTATCTATATTTTCTAATATTTTAACAATGAGCATGTATAACTTTGGAAACAAGAGGGAAGTTCTTATTTAAAGAATAAGGTACATCTAATTATAATTCATTACCTGCTAAAGCTATCCAAATATGTCCTAATTCCATTTTTCTCATGTAATGCTCAGTATCAATAATAATTTCCCATAATATCCCTTTTTTTCTTTCTCAATATGATTGCCTGAGGTAATACTTCATCTTAAAGACCACAAAGTCCCAGTCACTTGAGTCCTACTACAAATCAGTTACTGAAAAAACTAGTGATTTTTGTTGTTGTGAATCCTCACCCGAGGATATTTTTTCCATTGATTTTTAGAGAGGGTGAAAAGGAGGAAGGGAGGGAGAGAAAGAGAGAGAGAAGAGACACATTGATTGGCTGCCTCCCACACATGCCCCAACCAGCGCCAGGGATCAAATCTGCAACCCAGGTAAGTGCCCTTGACTGGGAATTGAAACCACGACCTTTCAGTGCATGGGCCTACACTCTAACTCTGAACAACATGGGCCAGTGTGGAAAAACTAGCGATTTTAAGAAATAAAGACAACCTGAGTTTTTAATCCTATCTCTTTCATTTCCCAGCCATGTGACCTTGAAAAACATTCTTCTTAAGAACTCTCAGAGAAACTAACAACATTTACCATTGCAACAACAACAAAAATAAGATACCTCGGAATAAGCTTAACCAAGGAGGCAAAAGACCTGTAAAAACGATAGTACACTGTAAAAAGAAATAAAGGAAGACACAAACAAATAGAAGCACATACCATGTCCATGGATTGGAATAATTAATATAATTGAAATGTCTATACTACCCAAAGCAATCTACAAATTCAATGCAATCCCAAATAAAATACCAATAACATACTTCACAGAGCTAGAACAAATACTCCAAAAACTTATATAGAACCATAAAAGATCCCAAATAGCTGCAGCAATCTTGAGAACGAAGAATGAAGTAGGAGGGATCACTATACCAGATATACTACAAAGCTATTATAACCAAAACAGCCTGGTACTGTTATGGATACATCTCCTAGGGCAAAGGAAACTAAGAAGAAAATAAACAAATGGGACTGCATTAAAATACAAAGCTTCTGCACAGCAAAACCACCATGAAATTGAGAAGGGAACCCACTGAATGGAAGAACATATTCACCAGTGCTACATCTAATAAGAGGTTAATATCCAAAATATATAAAGTACTCCTACAACTCAACAAAAGACAAACAATCCAATTAAAAACTGGACAGAAGACCTGAATAGAGGGTAGGGGGGATGAGAAGAGATAAACCAAATAATCTATATACTTATATGAATAGTCCATGGACACGGGCAATAGATTAGTGAAGACCTGGGGCAGGGGCTGGGAGGATGGGAGGAAGGGAGGAAGGGGGGGAATGGGTGATATCTGTAATATTATCAATAATAACAAAATATACTTTAAAATGAAAAAAAAAGATCTCTCAGCTGCAGCTCTTACTGGTAATAACTATCATGGCTACTGTACCTGGGTTTTCATGGAGGCCAAATTCAATGTTGTCTAAAAAACATTACAACTGTACATCATTGCAAACATCTTCACATAAACTACTTGGTTTCAGTTTAACTTTCAGAGCACTAGAGTTTGCTATTATTGGGATTATAACAACAATAATAGCTAATACTAGAGTATTAATTACCACAGCCCTGCAAAATTCTTAAGTATGTAAAACTTTTAAGCTTCAAAGGACATGAAGAAAGTGGAAAAATAACTAAAATAATGGGAGAAATTTTTGAAAATAATACATCTGATAACTTGTGTTTAGAATATATAGGGTATCCACAAAAATATATACATACTTGAATAATTATTAAGTCCAATGTTTCTTTCTTTTCAGGTTTAACCCATTGGAATTAATAATTATTCAAAGTTTGCACCCTGTATAAGAGACTCATAATTCATTAACAAAAAGACAAATAACCCAATTTAAAAATAGGTAGAGTCTGAATATACACTTCTCCAAAGAAGAAGATAAACAAACACCTAGTAAGAACATGGAAGGATGCTAAAATACCATTAGCCATCAGGAAAATGCAAATCAAAACCACAGTTAAATACCACTTCACACCTACTAGGGTGGCTATAATAAAAAAGTTAGATAATAATGTATGGAAAAATTGGAACCCTCATCCCTGCTGGTGGAAATGTAAAATGTACAGCCATTTTGGAAAACAGTCTGAAAGTTCCTCAAAATTTAAACATAAAGTTACCATAAAACCCTGCAATTCTACTCCTCGGC